CTTTGCCTACACAAATGACACCAGCAAGACACACCAAAGAACATACATGCTTCATAGATCTCTATTTTCCAGGTATCAGGAACCTCAACCAAGCATTACTAAAGACAAATTGTAAGGTAAAATATAAAAAAAGGTAATGTTTCAACCTGAGGCGTGTGAGAATAGTTTGGGGAGGCATAGATCCGCTGCGGTTCACGTCGTGCAGCACCTGGAGTTGTCGAGTGAGGTCCACGATTTGCTTCAGCCTCTTTCTCCCGAAGCCGTTCGTAGTGCTCGCGGATCCTGGAGGAGAGTATAACGTTCAACAAAGAGGATATCCGGGGTATTAGAGCCAGGCCAGGTATATTATGGCTTTCATTCATATTTTTACAAGTCATGGGATGAGTATTTGACATGGAAGTCAGCAGAGTCAGAAGTAACGGAATTTTCTTCAGCTTATCCCTTCACGAATAAAAATGACCCATCGGTGAAAACGAACGAAAGCAGTCACTTCTGAAGAGAAACGCTCCAAGAACAGACCTTTTCCTCCTCACCTCTACTTTAGGGTAGCCCTGGTCATGTTGTCAATCCTGAGGCTATATTGGGCTGGAGGTTGGCAAATCAAAGGTGGTGGGCACGATGACTGGGGGAGTGCGGTTACTGCCAACGCCATTGGTGGGAGAGCTGTGAGAGGGCGTTTTGCAACACCTCAACCTTCCCAGTGACGTAGGCAGTAACGCCCTGAACCATCGGCCCCCTACCTTAAAGGGCACAGGGACCATTCCACCAAGAATATGACAATGTCCCACCTTCTTTTCTCGTCCTCTTCTCGTTGACGCTGAGCCTCTTCCAATCTCATATCGGCTCTTTGCGTCGTGTTCTCATCACGACTCTTTCCACCAAGACCAAGGAACGATTTCATGGCTGTCAAACTAGAATATAAACTTTTTAGTAGGAACAGAATTACAGCAGTATAATGGATGTCACTGTTTGGAAACCATTGCAATAATAGCGCCCCCACATCTGATCCATCTTCAGTAATGAATCAGATTTATAGCAACAAAACCGCAACATACACTTTTCTTAAAAACATCTCTTAACGGCACATTTCACGCTCGCACTATCGGCTAAGAGGATGCGTCCCTCCCCTTTACCGTTAGGAGAATTGACACACCAGTGAGAACGGCTCAATAGTCGAGTTTCTCCGCCTCTACGGTTAACGTGGAATGCACCTTTGAGGTCATTAATGGTAACCCTACTTACCCGCCCAGACTCTTCCGCCGTTGCTTGTCTTTGTCACGACTCGTCGAGCGAGGCTTCACTATTACCGGCGAACCGGGAGGAAATGGATGTGGTGTTGCACCTGAATCTTGAAAAATAGACCTGAATCTTGAAAAATACAATAGGTTTTCCAAACGAAAAAAAAACGCAGCTTAACCAACCATAAGGGTTTTCACTATAGAACTCGGTCGCTTGTCGAAAACTCTCAGATGTTAGCGCGCCGCGATACTGCTGAAAAAAATAATGGGTTATAACAGCTATCAAACAATGCGATTCTGCTTCGGTAGGGGTATTTCAAAAACGCCCTTGCAGAATATCTAGCATCTACGCAGCATGTATGCCCGTCACTCTGACCCCTAGAACAAATTCTACCAGTAGGCTAAGGCAAAAGTTCATCTTACGATAATCCCAGTTTTGCACGAGAAGTCCTTCAAATGCTAACCCAGAAGCGGACCTGTGCCCCAAACTCTCTTTGGGACCCACACTGCAAGCATTGACCAGAACAGATTCTACCGAGGATGAAAATTAGTTTTACTAATACAATCCCTTCGTTAACGAAAGGCAGCGTTCAACTTCGCGAGCGTCTATTGCGCATGCTTTCACTGCGTCGAACGCACAGGCTTTCGTCGATCGGAGCAGTGGAAAGCATGCGCGGTCGAGAGCTTTCAAACGGCCGACCGAAACGCTCATAGCGCGTCGTGAAGTCTGATCGCTGCCTAAGCGCACTCATAGCACTATTTAGAATCCTCATGGCCCCCCCCCTTTAGGCTCATCTGGTATCAGGGTACGCCATGGGGTTTTATAAAAATGTGAGCACGACCCATCTCTGCCTCCAGAAACCGAGCTAAAAATAGAAGCGAGGCGTCGTCCAACAAATATTGCGAGAAAAATCTGGAAAAAACCCTCACCATTGCTGCGATGCTTCATTCGGCCAAATCGACCCTTCTTGATTGATGCTTTCCACGCTTAGAGAACGACGCTTCTCAGCATTCGTTGGAGCTAAACGTCAAATTATCGTGGAAACAAAAATGAAATGGGAGGAAATCTTTCAGAACTGAATCTGAAGCAGTCGACCTCAAACTTTATCACAATTCAGCACACATTTCAGTAATCTTGCAGTTCGTCAGCCCACGCTGTCCCCGTCCCTTATGAAAGTGCTTACTAACTGTAATCAAGCGCTCCCTGCCTCTCGATGTGATGTCAACCACTCTCTCTCCGATTTCTTTTACTCTATGCGAGTTTTAAATCTGCACTCCAACTACGCACCCAAATTATTGCTTTTGCCCTCTGAGCAACCAAGCGGCTATAAATTCGCCAAGTATAGAAGCAACCCAGCGCATGTTAGCGTGTATGTGATCATGCATAACTTTCAAAAGACACCTTTAAAAAGGGAAGCGAGTGGAGGGCAAGTGGTGAAAGGGCAGGTGAAGCAGTGGAACCAAGCAATGAAAGCAGCAACAAAAGCACACTTACCGGAATTCTGGAACGACAACGGCGTCAGTGGATGCTGTGGTGCCACCGACATCTTCATGATCTTCGGTGGAGCAGGAGCACGAGGATGAACGGAGTGGCTTCGAGCACGAGCCGCCGCACGTTGCGACGCTGACCTACCGGCGGTTTGTCCGTGGAATGAAAGCGACGTGGGCATCGCATTCAGTGGAGCTGCAAGCCGGCCAGAGGTGAGAGAAATACAGCAGATAGCAGAGGATAAAGCCATTGGATAAAGCTGGCAGAAATAAAAAAAACTCATAGAAGCGCCTAGCACTCGGTGAATAGGCTTGAAAAAAGAAAACGTGTGTGAGCGGCGATAAGATGGCTTGTGAAAAAGCTGATAACAATAAAACTCAAAAGGCCATACGCTGTAGGTTCCAGGAAACAGTTTTTTTTTTCAAACAGTTTATTCAAGATCAAAAATTTTATTTAAAATGAATCACGAAAGCTCACCCATTGACACCCAAATGTATATCGGCCACGCATAGCGGCACATAAAACCCCTCATCGGGGACAATAAATTGAACCCTAGCAGGCTCGCAGAGGTCCTCATCGGGAGCTACTAGCTGTTTAAAACAGAGCACAACATCACATTTTGTGAAGTTCCAGGTAAATACGACCCTCACCTCCCCATTTTCTCCTCCGGAATGACCTATTTCATTATCTACCTATGCTATTACCAACTTCTCCCTAGAAATTTGCCGGACAAAGCCGTCCATCTATCAGAAACAGTGGTTTTCCCGTTTAGGTAGGTGTGCAGTGCGCGTGAAATGAGAGAAACCAATGATCGAAAAAATTCTAATGGTAAAAAAGGGACCCCCTCTTCTCAGGCGGCCAAATCAACCCCCTTCCTCTCTCCAATGAATCCCTTTGACTGGAAATAAGCCTCCACAATCGAAAGAAAGTCTCCTTAACTCAATTTCTCTCGCAAGTGCTGCCTGAGGGAAGTTTTAGCAAACAGGGGTAGGGCATCGGAATGTGATACTGTGCAAAGGAAAACACTGGAATAAATGCAGCGGGCAGGATAGCTGGGGGCGGGTGGTTACTGCCAGCGTCATAGGTGGAAGGGCTGCGAGAAGGCCACACCCCACTTAGTACCGCCCCTAGCCATCGTGCCCATTGTCCTTATCTTTCAAAGTTCTTATTTATTTAAAACAAGACTGGAAACATCAAAAAATCGCAAAAATTTGCGTAAGTCAGAAAATACAAAAATGAAAGTCTCTTTTCTCATTCTCACACATTTCTATACTTTGTTTGACTCACCGCTTGTTTGCCGTTGATGTTTAATATCCTGGAAAAGTTTTATATGATGTGGATCACTGGCAGCACCCATGCCACGCTTTTCACTCATGCTCTTTCTCGACGGCGCTTCTCGGCTGAACGGATCCGAAATGCTCGGCAACTCGGACTCATCCAGTTTACTAGAACATTTAAGCTTATTAAACAAATCAGGGTAGAATTATGAGCTTAGAGAACGAAAGGATCACACAATTTGGGTTAAAACCCGGTCGGAAGGAAGGGTGCTCACTGTCTTCCTCTCCCCCCCCCCTTCTCCCCAAACCGCTTGAAGGTGCTATTCGCGTAAAGAGAAAAGGAGAATTTTTCCAGAAGTCAGGGAAAATTCAGGAAGATAGTATACAGGGATGGAGGGATAGACAAGGAGAGAAGGAGGTCGTACCAGAGAGGGAATTCAGGGAAGGGGATCGTATCTTGGGAAATTTTTCCCAATGGCAGGACGTACTTGAACAGAATACCAGCCAAGCCAAAGACAGAGGGCCTTATCTTACACCACTCTCTAATAGGGCAAAATTCAGAAGATAGTCGAGTGTTTACGCTCTCATGCAACATGGACATAAAAATTTCAAAAAGTAGCCCTCAACCAACCTCCCAGAATCAGCATCCATTCCTTCAACAGGCGATAGTTTATCTTCAGATGAGCTCGACTCTGCTCCCAAAACAGATGCTCGAGCGCCAGCCAGACTGTCAACAGAAGATGCACACCCAGACTGAGCAGAAGCGTCTTTCGCTCGTTGAATTCGCAACCTTGAAAAAAAAGTGAATAAAATGAATAAGTAAACCTTGTAGGTTCTCAGAAGTCAAGCACTCACCGTACATACTTCGCCGTCGGTCCGATCGCCTTCAATCGTCTTGAGACTGCCTCACTAGCGGTGGCGTTCGTCTCGCCTTCTAGTCGTAACTCTTCTATTCCAACTATTCTGTCATTCACCCTCAGACGGCCATCCTTATGGGCTGCACCGCCGTGCAAAACCTGCAAAGCAGAGGATAAAGGAATTCACAAGGACAGGTCTAGGTTACATTTGGCTGCGTTGCGGAAAACAAAGAACAACTATCAGTTATTAGTGAAAACAGTCACTGGAAAATATCTTTGGCGCTTTTTCCATAAAATCGAGACCGCCCAATCGAAAGAATTATTGAGAAATGGGGAAAAATATGATAAATAAAACTTACACTCTTGATAAATATTCCACAGTCTTGTCGTGTCCCATTTGTTCGTACAGTAACGCGAGCTTTCAGACTCACACCTAAACCGGCACTCCCAGTGTCATTGAGCGGAATGATCAGCTCTAGCTCCTCCATAGGAGGGGTCGTTTGAGGCTGTGCCGATGAGGTTGAAGCTAATACCTAAATAAAGATTATAGAAGAACCTCACTGAAAGCTTTTTAGAACCATAACTCAACCCACTTTGTCGTCACTTCCTCGTCTCCTCGCTGACCCTACCGGGGATGGAGGGCGATTTTCCCGCTCGCTTGAGCTGCTCTTCTTCTCATCCTCGTCCTCTATGACTCTTGATACCAAAAACGATACCGTGTCTCCTACTGCGGCCTTTTTCAACCGGTCGACGACCTCTGCTTGAGTCAGGTCGGCCGTGGGTTCGCCATTCAGCTGAACATGGTGATAGTCGTTAGGAAATTCCAGAAAATGCAAGGGAAACCGACCAAGGAGGCAAAAGCAATGCTCACGGAATGCTAGGCTATTTTCCAGAGAGTTGAACAGAGATATTCCTTTGAAATCTTGTTAACTGCAGAGCGCTGAGATGTGGGCTAATAAATGACCTGTGCAACCTTCCTGTTATCTCCCACAACTCTTACAGGGCGCTAGATCGACACGAGTGGGGTTTTTGGCGCAGGAGCATACAAGGCATTAAGGACAAACAAAGCGACAAACCCCCTTTTCTTTCTGTTCATAATGGAAAGAAGGAATGAGGCCACTGTGTTACTGCAAGCGGACCGCAGAAGCGCTTTGTCTGAGGCCAAAGTAAAAGAGTTCGGGAACAAGTGAAATATTTCACCTACCCTGGAGCTACTTTTACCAAGTCTTCCCCTCCCTTAGGCTGGGGCGACTGTGCCTGAAAGTACTCAGGGTAGTGAAGCAGTCCCTGAGGCTCTGCGTACTTTTTGGCCACATTCATCAACTGAATGTCATCCAAAGCAAAATGTAAGTAATGGCGTGCCGAAATTAGGCCGACAACATCTTGCACCCTCCAAACCACTTCCACAAAACTGGGGTACCGTATTCCGACGAACTATTTTTTGTAGCAAGCAGTTATTCAAACAAGTTTTGCTGCATACAATAGCCAGAAAATTACCTCCAGAAGTCGATCACCAGCTCGTAAATGTCCCAGAGCTGCCCCATTTGGCTTCACCGTTCCTATATAGAACAGACGTTCGCCTTTAGCAGTCTCTCTTCCGGTATACAGTGAAACGCAAAACTCAGCGTGGCGCGAAATGAACGTTGTTCGATGATGGACGGCCTACCATGACTGTGTTTGTACAAACCATCGTCCATCAATTCATTCTAACAGCAAGAGCGTATGACAATGACCTTATTAGGTCGAAACTAGACGAGTCAATAAAAATCACTGAACACTATATGTTAATAACTTTATCTAACAATAAAACAGTAAGTCACTGTGATAGGGGCCGGAGATGTGTTGCGAGAAAAGGTCACGCGAGTCTATACTTTCCTGATTCGGTATATACTGCAAGCCTGCTTGCCAAACAGAGCACAGCATTAAAAGCTCAGTGAAACTGGCAGATGGAAAAACTCGCCGCCGCAAAAACTTTCCAACTTGCTCTCTAGCCATGTTCGCGACGAGCAAAAACTTCGCTGTCATCAGAACCAATGCCAGAATTGATGTGTTGAGAAAGAGAAGACCCGCCCAGATCTCCAAACCGGTGGGTTCTCCGTGCCCCATGTTAATATTTGAACAAGTTGTACCCCACTGAAAAAATCTGTGTTTTCAGAAAAATTTTCACGCGTTCTTTGTTCGTGTGAAGCCGCCATGCAAGCTTGAAGGCAGGTGGCACGATAAATCTCCAAGACGTGTAGGATCAATGCATCTAGCGGGGTAGAATTTGGCGCCCTGTGCAGGCGCTGGGCTGGCGCTTTTTTCAGCGGAGGGCCCCTTGTAGGCGGTCTAGACATCGTGTGCCATACATACCAAACCCAGACGCCCTAAGCCCTCCAACGCTCGATCCATACCATAATAGTCCGAACCTAAGTGGTGTATCGCTTGCACTTGCGAAATACAATATGAGGCGAAGGGAATAATATGAAGTCGCTGCGGTGCTGCATGAATTGAGCACTTACATTCCGTATCTACAGCAGGGTTATTGGCGACGGATAGAGTCAGCGGGGAACTCGTCCCAAAGTCCTTTCTGAGACTCTGCACGACGAAAGGCATTTTATTGCTTGGTTTTTGACGAGTTGTCATATTCGCTTTTCCGAGTACATTTTATTCCACCATAATGATGGCTTTATCCTTATTCTTTAGCACCCTTGCTACCATTCTAGATCGAGTACCACACTATTACGACCTATGCCTTCAATAACATTCGTCTATTTCGCATGCACCGTTCTCAGAAACCAGAAGTCCTGCTTACCGCTTGGACAGATCCGCCTCTGATGTTGTTACGTGCAGTTTCCAAAGGTAATAGAAGGGCCGATGAGTGGAGAGCCTGGGGTCGTTGCAGCGGCTCGGTTCTCACAGATCCGTGACGCGTCAACCGATATGGGCAGACACAACAAAAATTGATCAGCATGTGGGGGGGGGGGGGAGTTCGTGGGCACTTCCTGTCCGCAGTAGGTCGTAGCGAACCTGGGCGATTTTCTGTAACGTGATACTTGAACTTGGGTGCGTCTATCCAGGTCATCGTGAAATCCCCGTATGATCGCATCCGGAAATGCGTTGCCTACCTTTAAACGCACTAATCGACATTTTCTTATGATTCTTTGCGTATTCTTTTTTGTCGACAAAGTCAAGTGCCTGTGGGATTGCCATCGTCGATGTTCGATCTAATTCACATTAACTAGCATGAAACTCTCAAAGGACGCTATTTGATGAGATCATCAAAACTAGCCACTCGCTCGGGTAGAGAAAATTTCGTTCTGTTCCCTTTCTGAAGGGCACGTTCACATGAAAATAGTAACTGTAGTTTTAAGCGATCGACGCTCATCACCCCCCTCCCCTTGGGTGCGCCACGCTACAAGCTCAACTCAGGGTAGCATCAGATGCATTCGAACACCCATTTAGGCTGGTCATTTGATCATGTGTGCTCCCGGTCGACACTCGAGGCAAGGGTTTCGCGGCAAAGACACCGTTGCAAGCAGCGTCGCACGTTCGTCATCCGTAACGGGACCTAAACGACTTAACGCGGAAAAGATCTGTATGCATAGTCGATTGGATTGCGAGCTTCAGCTAATCTATGTGCGCTGTCACAACGTTTTCGTGAAACTATCACGCATTCTGGCATGAACTAACGCCAGCCAGAGTGTTATTCGGAAGAGTAATATCGAAGGAAAACGGTAAAATATTGGACGTGCAATCAGGCAACGGCTACTCTACTATCATCCTATACTTTATCAACACGTTGGCGGCAGGGACCGATCGATACCCATCTAGACGCATGTCCACCTCTGAAGCAATACAGCTGCAATGGATAACCGCGGCGACGCTGCGTTTGCGGAAGTATGAACCGTTGCACTTCCATGCGTAAGTTGTCGTCTCAGACAAGTCCCTGAATCAATTCACCAGAACCGATTCTAGAAAGATTGGAGGATCCCAGCATAGATTTTGAGCAGATGGTCGCACTTGTAAATCTGCAGCGGCCTCTTTCCCCAGCAATACCTTCCCTCCCGAGGAATTAATTAAAAAAAGAGAATAGGTCGAGAAATTCCCTTACTACTTTTCTTCAGCTCTACCACTCTCGTATGACCGATATGAACAGTGTTCGCTTGCTGAAGTGCTGATAAGATCGGTCGATTTTGCAGCGATGACGTGCCAGGCTGACTTCTTGTGAACGGATCGTCTGACGAAATACATGAAGGACTGGTGGAAACGGCCACGTCAACGATGGCTCAGGCCACGTGATTGTAAACTCCTCCAGATAAAGTCTCGTGCACGCAGACAATCGAGACATCTGAAAAAGCCGCCCAAATGTCAGGCTTATTTTGGTATAAAAGAGATGCGCATGACAAAAAACGAGAATTGGAAAAAGGCACATCATACCTGATAAACGTCGTAAGTCTATTTCAACAATATTTGTCACCAGACGCTAGCCGACCAAATACCAGTTCACAACCCGACCATCAGGTTCTATTCGCAAAATTTGTACGGCAGATAGACGTCCACTTGTCGACGCTGGATCGTCATGCACACCCGTCACCTGAAGGATCCCAACTAAGCTCAGGAAGGGCTAGAACTTTGGCAGTATCAATGCTCACTACAGCATGATACCCCGATATGAAACTGAGTTCATCAACACTCGGGAATACAATCACAGTATTTTCTGGATCCAAAGCCGGTTTTAAGATAAGCCCGTTGTCGACTCCGTTGTGTTGCCATTGGCGACGCATGACTCGCTTCACGAGCATCTTCCAGCCGCTCCTTAACAAACGAAAACATTCAAACTCCACGAAGCCTTCGTTTAAACAAACATTCTTTGGTCTCTTTTCATCGCAGAACTAGCATGTTCAGAAACTTTGATCAAAACCTCTATGCACACGACGATCAAGTTGGGTGTAGAAGCTTTTTTACTGTAGGGCAAAAATTCGGAGCCAAAGGCGAAAAATAATGAGTGTGCAAGCAAATTCAAGATTAGGGGAGCCGTGCAGCTCAATAATAACGACTTCTCCAGAAGTTTCCTCCTCTGTACGATCCGCTTCTGTCCAGCTTCCAACGCTTTTTTTTCAGATACTGTTGTCAAGCGGGAGGGCGGGGGAGGGGGATAAACAGTAAACGTGAAACGAGAAAAACCGAGAAAGTCAATGCCCAATAATCTTCCTCTCAGCGACCAAACGCGACCATGTCGCTGGGGATCCCAAAGCACGACGTGCCCTGCTCGGGCCTGTAGCATAGCCGTCCATTACCTTCATCTACATCCTCGAGCACCACACCTCTAGTAATTACTCTGAAGGATTATCTCGGCTTACCCAAGATGAATACCTCGGCGGAGACAATTTGGAATGTCTCACAGTGTTAATCCTAATGAACCTACGCGCAAGAGAATTTCTCCACCGTCAGCCGTCCTGAATTCGTCGCTGTAAGTTAGGAACATCAGACAACTTTATGTACTACCTGGACGGAAGTTGTCTTCTTCTCATCTACTCTGGCCCCATGCGTCTTGTTTTCTGAAGCTCGCGAAATCTATGCGCTTAGATACGTAGTTTAGAACACCAGAGTTGCGAAGAGGGCGCCAAAAAGGCTTCGTAATCGCGTACGGTAAGCAGCTTAGGCTGCGTTTATACTTTGCGGCAGCGTAGCGTAGCGCTTCCCAGCGTTACGCCAGCGCAGAGTCGGTCGGACGAGGATAGATATCACTCTAGCGCTCCCAGCCGTCATCCAGGGTCTACGCTGGGACCTGAGCCGCTACGCTACGCTGCCGCAAAGTATAAACGCAGCCTTAAGCTCCAGGTTAACTGATCCAAAGCGACATCGTCTGCTAAGTGCCAAGTCAACTTCGCTGCATACTAGAACGCGCAAAGTTAGGAGATATTACTTGCTAGTTTGAGCCGCCTATACAGCGACTCAGCCTTCCCAAACTACACCACTTTTGACACCAGTCTATACTCAGACCAGGACAAAGTGCAGCATCGAGATGGAAGGAATGAAGAAATCAGACGACCTCCTAGAAGTTCTCCCTCTTGTACGACCCGTTCCTCATTCTACCTACCGCTCTCACGAGATTTCTCAGCTTTCTACCACTTCTCTCCGATTTCAAAAGAAAAAAAGTAAAGGGAAACGCCGCGAAAGTCAACAACAGAAAAATTGGCTCGGTAGAATTTCCGTCAAGACCAGGTGCTAATCCTCAACAACCTAGCCTTTCCCACCTTCCCAAATTATCAAGGACGACCCCTGATGGGATTCTCACATTGACTCTGTGTCCTGGACCCAAAAACGACCCAGTTGTCCCAGGTTAGTTGATTAATTCACAACAAACCGTCAGGCTTGTAGGAAAGTCATTCATATAAGGAAGACTGCTACGTCTAACAGCTGATCACAGGTGTGCCTACACCTATCCCACCCACTCTACGGCGAAATTTTGGGAAAAGTTAGGAATAGGTAGGTATGTTGGGATGAGGGTGAAGATCATTGATCTCTCAGGAGGAACATCAGAATCAACTCCGTTCATTCAGTTCATTTGTACGGAATGGAACGTTCACCGAACCGAACGTGCCTAATCAAGCAGTAAATGATGATTTCATTAGCCTCTGTAACCCACCTTCGCATCGAAGAAACTATCCGTCAAACGCGATTTCCTCGCCGATCCGCGACTCAGTCGGGTGTCCTTCTCAGCGGACGACGCCAGTTTCTTTTCGACTTCTGAAAAGGCCATTCTTGTCTGGGTGAATCACTAAACACGCTGTGAAGAACGTCAACTGTACTAAACGACTATGCAGGAACGTAACACTACACTTTTCGGCTTTCTAAACTCTCAGAAAGCAAAAGAAAGGTCATAAACGCCCCCTCCCCCTTCCACTGTGAACCATTACATAACCATATTATTTATGAAGAAAATAAAGAACAAGCAAAAGTATCACAACGTCAAAGGGTTGAATCAACGAACCAGGACTCATTGTCACACGATGTCGTGACGGTGTCGAACCGTCGGAACGCAGTGAAGAACGCACTGGTTGAGCGAGTCGCTCCTTGTCACTAACGCCACTGCTGCTGCCGCCGCTGCCAACCACTGCAAACGTCGTCGTGCTGCTTTCCGCTGTGCTGCGGTGATTATCAGTCATCGATGACGAAACACGCAAACCGTTGCCTAGAATGCCAAATAAGCACTCACTTACTCACACAAACGTTAAAATGCTTCTCCATTGGTCGAGATTTTCAAATAAAACTCCTACGCATTCTTCAGTGAATCACATCATTATCATAGACAATTACTATTGATCAAAACCATATCATGTAATGCTTCTGCTTGGGAGGGGGGGGGGGGAGGGAGGGGAATTGCAGTTTCGCAAGTTTCTTCGGCTAGTTCCACTTGAATTACATGTCTCAGCTTGATCAGACTTGCAGACCCTTGTTAAAGGCATGAGGCACAATAATTCGGTACAAAAATCGTAGCAGGGATACTACATGGTGGAAAAATGGCGAAAAAGCAAAGTGAAACAGCAAAAAAAAACTGCGAAAAAGCCTTTTACTGCGCGACATTAGACGAGCATTTCTGGAAGAGTTTCTTGTTGGCATCGTGCCAATAACCGCTCTGATATATATGGCTGCATGTACAGGGGGGGGGGCCAAAAAAAGTCACTTTGACCGAGTCACATATCAGCAAAGTTTTCGCAGCCCAGACAGAGGACGTGGATACGAGTACCAGGGCGGAAGATACCCAAGATGTTCCTCGATAAGCAGGAGCTGGCTCTCGCCCATCACCTTCATGTACACCAAAATATGAAGTCATCTCCAGTCGCAGCCTGACTGGAGAAGACCTTTGGAATTCATGTCACCTCCAAACAGCTGCGAAACTTCTAGGAGTCACCCATGGATAGCTACCTGGAGACCAGTACTCTCGATCTGGAAGACCTCCAACATCGAGCAGCTCCGACAACGTCGCTACGGTCTAGGACATCATCTTCACCGTAGTCGCCGAGGCGCGAGTTGATGGTATGGACCGGGGTACCTGGAATGGGAAGACCGATATTTTCTTTGTAGACCCGGACTGAAGGTGAGCGCTGGCGGTTACATCAAGTAACTCGAGAAGAATATCCTCCCTACATGTGGTCGCCCGTACCTTCTTGGAGACCTTGTGCTGCTACAGGTTTGGGTGCCACCACATGGAATCGAAGGGTTTTGGAAAAACTCCCGCCTACTTCGAATGGAAGGGCGTTTCGTACCTGAAGAAGATGTAATATTGAAGTATGTCCCCTGACCTGAACCCACTCAATTACCTAGTTCGGGCGGAGTTCAATAGGGTGGTCTACGGTGGCGGAGAAATCGACTATCTCGCTGATCTCAGGCACCACATCGCGGTCGCGTGCCAGAATCTCTCGATGGCGCTCGTCCAGAAGGCTGTGGCGGAGTGTCATGATAGTATTTAATATGCTCTTCAATATGGTGGTAAAAATGTCCGATCAGAATTTGATAAAGTGTAACTTATAGCGCCTCGAAAGTCAATGAGGCAAAGTGACTTTTTTTGGCCACCCCTGTATGCATTCATATATCTGCGCTTCATATCAATTGCACTTCATTAAGGAAGCGTCAAGAGTGCTAGTGTCAATGTGAGTGCCCGGCTGGTCGGACGATTGCAGTGCGCGTCTGGGTTGGCACGTTGCACCTTGGTTAGGCGGTATAACGATTCCCTCGGGATGTCACAAGGCGTTGCTGAAGGGCCAATGGTATTTCATGCTAGCCCAGCCTATATGCCTTGTCGATTTATCGCGCCACTTACCTCAGTGTAAACAACCGCTCCTAATATTGCATAGCTTTACAGGAGTTTGCGGACTTTAGTGGAAGCATCGACAGTGATTGATGGGACCACCAAAATGTCCCCACCAAGCGAACTGCGCCTAACAGCCGTAGCTCATTTTGAACCGAAGCTAGCTCATCAAAAGTCACACGTTCATGAAAAAGCGCAAGATAAGCTATCAAAGGAGTGGTCACAAAGATTGCTGAGTGTGTTCAAAGTCTCAGGGACACGCCAGGTATCACAATGGCATATCATCGACAAACTCTGCAATGGGGTAAAGAAGCTACAGCTCTTCTCCAGAATTCTGACACCCACTACAACAAGAACCCCTCTCAACGAGTCAGTTTGACCTCTCCCCAAGAAGTCAAACACGACTTCCCCTCTCTCGAATGTACCATGATTATGTACCCGAAACCGTG